ATAAAAAACAAATTTTTAGAGAGGGAAAGAGTTCACCCCAAAAATAAGATGGAATTCTGAGCAATTAGCATTAATCTATTATAGTCATTATCTTGAATCAAAAAACAAGTGATAAATTTAAAAAGAATACCTTTTTAAAGATAAAACAAGTAATCACCATAACAACTGGAAGCAATAATGTCTTTGTGTATCTCAGTGGAGTCTGAAATATAGCAAATTATTCAAAATCATTATTTATTGAATTTTACATTAAATTAGCAAAACTCTATGTCAAACTGACTGCCATGATAAAATTTCTTAAAGGTAAGTCTTCATCATTAGCAGAATATATATTCATCAACTTCCACATTCTAATACAAGAATTAAAATTATAAAAATAGTTATAAGAAGTATTTAAAAAAATTAATGATAAAAACAATTAAACCTGGAATTAGCTAGTCTTTTTTCCCTTTCTTTCAGTTTTGTTTTTATTTATATAATAATAACATTTAAAATGTGTGTTTACTGATCCCTAGGTCCTACATTATCATTTTCTGTGCTGTTTAGTTCCATTATTTTCATTAGTGAAACTAGAGCTAATGAGGAAGAAAGCTAACCAAAGCAATTACTGAAAGTTTGAATAAGTACAGAATTAATGTCAGTTAAATAAATCTCATGACCTATTATTGTGATAGGGAATGATTTACCATATAACTAAATTATATATTTCTTGAAAGCAGAAACCAAGTCTTTTGTTTCTTTGTCCCATAGCAAACTGCCTCACAGATAATTAGTGGTCAATAATAGATTTTAAACCAATAGATGACTGGTTGGTTAGATAAGAGAATAATATAAAATTTAATTATACATTTACCACTAATTTAGAATTCATAATTATTGGATAAGTACTAATCCAGTGACAACTTTTTCATGTTCTACGAAGAAAAAATTCAGCTGCAGCTAGAGGAAAGATCACTGGATTGGGAGTTCTAAAATCCATTAGCATCCATGTCCCAATATAGGCTTCAGTGTATATTTTAGACAAATCTTTTAAGCTGTATTTTCTTTATTTGCAAATGAAAGAATTATACTACATGGTCTCTAAGATATCTTCTTGATCTTGTGCTCCATGATTCTACAAAGAGGCAAATATTTTAAAGCTCAACAACATGAGCTTTTTTAAAGGATAATACCATGCATTTCTATAACTTAAAAGGGATTTCATGCTTTCATTAAAACCCATTAGTAATACACCTTTCTTGGCAATATCATATTTTAAGATTTCGTAATATTTGGGGCATTAAATGTAATAGAGCTAAATTTCTTAAAAATAAATA